AATTTTTCTCCCTAAATCCTTTGTCGTGGAAGGGCATCTGTTGCAGTTGCACATCCCCGGGGGTTGGATTTTATAAACTTTGTATCCTTTTTTGGGGTTTGGGATTCTTTCCTTGGGAAGAGCAGCGATTTGCAGGGCGGTGACTGAAATCCATTTCTCCTCGCCAGCTTGTTTAGACACCAAAACTAATGGTGCGATTATTATTCCTGAATGATATCATGGTAATGCAGAGAGATAAGAATGGCCTGATAGGGAAACATTAAAATTATATTCTTGGAGATAGTTCATTTGGAGTAACTTTAAATTAGATGAGATCATGTAGCCCGAGATCCAGTATCAGCATAAATAAAGCTGTATTTCTGCCTTCAGCCTCCTCCTCCTCCTCGCAAGAATCAYGGTCGGGCTTGCAACTGCCAAAAGTGAGAGATGAAGAGCATTTAGAATTTGAAAACACCCCCGATCCAAACTTTATTTAGGAGAATAATGGATCTTTAAATAACTTTATTTTTTTATGCTTCAGGCGCTGAGAAAGGGGGAGGATTTTTAATTGATTTTTAATTGGAGGAAGCACGTTTTGGGAAGACTTCCAGGTTTGTGGGGCTTTTCAGAGGCGCTGAGGACACCGGTCCCGCTTGCTGTTCTGCACGACCTGGTGAGATTCCCACCAGCAGGAATGCTTTTTCCAAACAGCCAGAATGAGCTCAGTGCACAGAATCCCGCCAGGCATTGCCAGGGATGATTATATTCCTGCTTTTCCCTCGAATCTGGTTATTTTACATGCAAGTGCACACATACATTTCTYTATGCATGTGCCACATATTAAAAAAGACCCTTTTAATCACWTGCCATCAAATAATATTTTCTGGGMGAGATATATGGAAAATATATGCACAGAGCAGCTCATCCAGGCAGMAGCACTGATGTGTTCACAGATACTGTGCAGAACAGACTGGATACTTACAGGTTATTCTTTTTGCATTTTTACAGTGTTTCTTGCTCAATTTCATCCCCCCAACCCTGAAAAAAGCATTTATTCAGCTCCAGCTATAAACACTTACAGGGACCCAGCCTCCTGCTCGGGGAGATTTAATGGAGCAGGTCAGTGYCCTGTACATCCCTGACGGAAGAGGGGAGCAGTGATGGATGTGGCAGATTGGATCATCCCACGAGCTGCTYGTTCACACTGGCCAGCCAGAGCTGCTCCCTGGGAAGGCACCACACTCTGGGGGAGAGGGCTGGAGGATAACTTGCTTCAAAACTAAAGATTCTCTGAGGATTGAGACCTGGTTAACGCCCTGAGGCAGAAGTTTACAGCTTTTTCCAAACTTAATTTTTGTTCTGCTCATTTTATCCGTGTGTGGTACAACCTGACCCCATCCCACCCCTTCCTTCAGCATTTAGTGCTCGTTTCTCACAGGTGATTTGCTCTTTTGCAGCACCATTTATTTTTGTGTTTTARTGAGGAAGGTGATGGATATTTGGGGTGACAATGCAGTGCTGTGGCTGTCACCCCGGGGAGCCACCAGTGCTCAGACACCTGCACCCTGCTGCCTCTGTGGATGTTCAGCGGGATGAAGGTCCTCATCAGAGAGCCAGTGGGATGGCCTGACAGCAAAAATATGTCTGGAATTACATCAGCCTTCCCAGAGCATCAAAATCAGCACTGTTATGGAATTCCAGAACCATGGAATAGTTTGGCCTGGGAGGGACATTTAAAGGTCCCCGAATCCAAGCACTTCCCAATGAACAGGGACATCTTCCACTASATCTGGTTGCTCAGAGCTCCATCCAACTTGTATGCAGAAATGTATCCAGAAATGAGGTGTCCACCATTTCTCTGTCCATCAYTGTGAAAATCTTCCCTCTGTCTCCCATCTCTGGCTCTCAGTGAGGAGCAAGTGATGCAGTGAGCAATGGGAGCACAGACAGGCCAGCAGCCCCTCAGGGTGACACAGCTGTCACTGTGGAGGACACCACACCKTGGCAGAGAGCACCAAAACTGCCCCAGTGGAATCAGGCAGCAGCTTGGACTGCGTGGAACCCACAAAGAGTGTCTGGGTGCCACCCTGCTGGAGACTCCTGGGACAATGCCAGCTCTGTGCCACCTCKGTGCCACTTCCTAAGGCCATCCCTTAGCAACTCCAGCAGTGGCTGAGGAGTTGTTCACCCTTCCCAGGGTGAGAAATTCTGGTGAAACCCACTGGGATTCCCCTCCCTCGGGTAGCCCTGTGCTGCTCAACCCCACGGGTGCATCCACCCGGGAAAGGGTCTCTGGAGATCCTSCCTGGGTTTTGCTGCCCCTGCAGCAGCAGCAGGAGGCAGAGCTGATGAGTTTCTCCTGTAAATAAGTGCATTCMGAGCGGCCATGGATGCAAACCCGGGGGCTTGACACGGCATTGACTTCCCAGATATTGTATGGCCGGGGAGCCTCAGTCATTGTCAGCGGCGTGAAGGGAAGGATAAACGACCTGAGCTCAGGAGTGCAGAGCAGGCTTGTAAGGAGAGGCAGTATCTTTTATTAGACCAACTGATACAGTCAGGGAAGAAAAAAAAACCCAGACAGGTTTTCAGGCACACGAGCTTGGAAATAGAAGCAGCAACTTTCAAGAAATGTGCCAAGGCTGAACTGTTTATCTCCCGCGCTCGCCCGCCTCCGCTCCTGGGGAGGCTGACGGCTTCATCACCGGGATCCTGCCATCCTTCCTTGAGCTGGGATGGAGCTCTGGAGTGGGATTGATCCCTGTGATCCTGCCATCCTCCCCGAGGTGGGATGGAGCTCTGGAATGGGATTGCTCCCTGTGATCCAGCTGTCATTGCTAAGGTGGGATGGAGCTCTGGGATGGGAGTGAATGCTGTGATCCAGCCATCCTCCCCAAAATGGGATGGAGCTCTGGGATGGATTGCTCCCTGTGATCCTTTCCTGGATGGGA